CCCCCGACCATACTCGGTACTTGACCTCTGAAGCTCTGGAGGTGTCCTATGACTACTCCCGTGGTCTGATCCCTCTGTGTCAGATAAGGCTGAAACAGAGAACCAGACTAAATGCTCGGTGTACACCCAATCATGCACCACATTCTTTGGAAATTATGAGAGAATCATAAACTCAAAACCATAGTGAAAGCAGGGCTTTCAAAACGAAAAACCACAGAGTTTTGCGCACACCCCAGGTCTGAATCAAAAACAGCAAGGATTTTGTTCTTGACTCTTTTATTTCTTTTCTTTTTTGTGACAGTAGTCATATTGACGTGCCCTGAACATAGTGTTGAAGTGTCTCTCCTTCTAGTTGGCAGAAAAACAGCTAAAAACAGAAAGAAATAAACAACTTTCAAATTGCATCAAAGTGATTTTCCTCCCAAGAATATGCTGTTATTTTTTTGTTCGTTTTCAAAAATAGAGCATAAAGGAATATATTACTTTAAAAAAGATTTATCTGTACTTGTGTGTTTTTCTACAAAACATTTCATATTTTTTTTGTATTCCTGCAGTTGACTTTTTATCAAACGCTGTGGCATGCACATTGCACATGCAGTTCTCGAGGTAAATGCTTCTCTACATTTTTTTTTTCGGACAAAAACTTGCTTATTTTTAGTTTCTTCTTTTTACAGTGTGACTCCCACATCGGCATTGTATTTTTAATTGTCACTTGTTTTGCCAAACATGAACTGAGGTTGTTAGTAATGATTAATTATGACAGACAATGAGAAATGTCAATGTCCTTGTCTTTTCTCTCACAGCCACACACACATGGAGAAGTTGAGATTACATCATGCATGCAAATGAGGATGACTGAAAATCATTGGCTTGGTGAATATTGTCAAACACATCATCATGGACCTGATCACAAACATATACACACACCGTTCACAGAGACACACTATTTCCTTGACTCTTCTTGCAACTCAAAACAGTTTGGTATTGCATATATAGATACTCTCCTTATAAAAAACTGAAGTCTCCTGAAGCTAAATGCCTGACACGGATAAAAGAAACCAAGAGACAGCTTCACTGCAAACCGACACATTGCAGCTGTATAAATGTGTAAAGATGGGATGTGCGGTCTAAATAACGGTGAATAAGGCACTGATTAATCTCAGTAATAGATTCCTAAGAATGCAGTTCTCAAAGAAACAATGACAACAAAAACTAATAACGCTCAACTAGCAAGGGGAGACATGAAACTTGGATCCTGTATCTAGTGTTTACATCCATATACTCACCAGTTGTGGACACACTTAAACATACAGTCTCAAAGGAGAGCCACAAACTTACCAGTTTCATCAGTAATGCTACATACAGGACTCACTCGACTCGAGTGGGATTGTGCATGATAATATGTTAGTAAATGCTACATACATCGTCTAATTTGCACATGCTGCAAAGTTGGACTCGTTCGGCAGCGTGTCTGTGTATGCCGAGTCATTCCACAGAGGATCTGCCTCGTAAAGAAGACTGAGATGACGATGGTAATATGGGCCGAAAAGACACAAAGATCAGTGGGACACAAGAGACAAGTTTTGGCAGAAAAGGCCCGGTCATTGTTTCACCCATGCAATTTGATTGGCTGTGTTACATGTTCCTGTGCAGTTTGATTGGCTGTGTTACATTTCCTGAACACAGAACGGTGCACCATCGGTGACAGACACATAGCACTACTCTCAGTGTACAGGTCATTGACATAAACATGGAACAGAAAAAGGTGAGACTGACAGAGCCAGAGCCACTGGCTGCAGAACAATGTGGATCACAGCGCCATCTGCTGATCTAGTAGAGGTAGTGGAGCTCAGTTACCTTCTCGCCATTTACTGGCACATTAAAATGTCTTGGGGACTTCTTCGTTTAAAGCAGTGGTTCTCAATCTTTAATATAGATCTGAGCCTTAAATCTATTTTAATATAGAATTTATTGAATAAATAATTGTAATAAATAATTCATTTAATAATTTAAGTCCTCTCCAATTTTTTATTTAGTTGAGAACCACTGGTTTAAAAGTAAGAAAAAACATTCTAAATAGTAATAATTCTAGATAGATAATTATAAAAAATAATTTAAATAAATAAAATACTTTAAAATTAAGATTATTACTAAAAGAGTGAAAATAGATAATAATAATAATAAAAAAAATGTAAGAATTTTATGCCAACCTAACCAATCCTTGTTTACTTAGCTTATATCTAAATGCTCTTTAAAGATGTATATAACACGTTTGTATCAATATGGTTGATAACTAGTCAGCTCTTCCTCTAATTTCTTTTATCCTTTTCATTTTTTTCCCTTCTTGATAAAAAGTGTTCACAGTTACAGACACTCGAGATCAGATGCATGCTTCGAGCTGTCATTAACGCTCAATGATATGGCTGAGAAAGTGTTTCCATGGAAACATCCGAAGTCGTCGAGCTACCGAGGACGTCGGCTGAAGGTCAGAAATGTAAGAATTTTATGCCAACCTAACCAATCCTTGTTTACTTAGCTTATATCTAAATGCTCTTTAAAGATGTATATAACACGTTTGTATCAATATGGTTGATAACTAGTCAGCTCTTCCTCTAATTTCTTTTATCCTTTTCATTTTTTTCCCTTCTTGATAAAAAGTGTTCACAGTTACAGAGACTCGAGATCAGATGCATGCTTCGAGCTGTCATTAACGCTCAATGATATGGCTGAGAAAGTGTTTCCATGGAAACATCCGAAGTCGTCGAGCTACCGAGGACGTCGGCTGAAGGTCAGATGGGTTTCTGTCATAGCCCATAACGGATCACTATCACAGAGCTCCACACACCATCTACACAAAACTCACACCGAAAACAAGTCTGGCAATACAAAGAGCAGCTGAGGCAAATACAAAAACAGGTAGAAAAACCAAATGATAAGCATCATAATCATTATCATCTTCATCATCACCATCAATTATCGTCATTTATGCAATCATCTTTATACACACATTGTCATTATCGACATGAAATCATATGTAAAGTTGGAGAGGTTCTCTCTCTCTCTTTTCTCCCCCCTCAACTCTCCGTCTCTGCGTTTACCCTGGAAGACTGGAAGAGCACAATTACGGCGGTGTAAGGGAAAAGAATCACATGTGTCATTTATATGTTTGTGTATTTTATGTGCTACTATATCTGCATTTTTGTGCAAGTGAGCAAATCATCTATACACTGATAGAGGAATGTAAATAAAAAGGTTATAAAATGTCAAGCTTAAAAATAATTGTGCTATCCATTTATTTTTGATTCCGAATTTGCCACCAAATCTGGTAGAACACATTGCGAACATCTCTCTGGTCACCCATTTACTGGTTTGAACATTAGCAATGGCTTCTTCTCCCCTTTCCTCCTTCAGGAGAGAGGGATCTCAGAGAGGCATGAGAGAGAGAGAGAGAGAGAGAGAGAGAGAGAGAGAGAGAGGGGGCTGATGGGAGAGAGAGAGAACGTCACGGACATGA